CTAAGAACACACCAAAAATATTCTTCCTCACAAGGGCAATATGGGGATTGTTGCCTCTTCATTTTTGGTGGTTCTTACCCAGATAGTAGTGTATGTGTGTATATATATATGTATATATGTACGTATATATATATATATATATATATATATATATATGTATATATATATATATATATGCACGCGCATGCTACTCCAAGTTCTATCCCCAAGCACTCATCATTTTATGCTGTGGCTTCGCCAAGCCTTTGAGGCTTAGGGTTTAAGGTCTAGGGTTGACGGTTTAGGGTCCAAAAACCAAAAACCCCAACCCCACAGGACCTTAAGGAAATCAAAAACAACTGGCATGGCGGGAGTAGCTAACGCCCTACTGAGTTTAGGTTTCAAGGCGTACACTCTTGTGTGACTGTTTCACCTCTGTCTCAAGGTACTCCATTCCCAAGCAGCGCGATTTCAGAACAAAGGAAACCGCAAAGTTTTGTCTGGGCCTGTCTAGCACTAAAACTGGCCAAGCTTGTAGGTTGGGTTTAGGGTTTAATTTGGGTTTAAGGAAAGGGTTTAAGGGGCAAGCTTCTTGGGGAGCCGCATGTTGACACGCAGCATGTCACACGCCATGGGGAGCCAAAGCACAGGTCTTTGACCTGCGCTGGCGAATCTCGAAAAAGTGGCCGCACGGCCGATTGAAGTGACTGTTACAGGGCAACGGCTGAGGGGTTTAGGGTTTAGGGTTTAGGGGTGTCTAGGCACATTCGCACCTATTGCTCTAGCATCCCAGACATCGGACGATGGAGGGAGCTGGTGTGACCATGCTGTAACTATTAGCGTGGTTGTGTTCAGTCGTCAAGAAGCTCCTTTTTATGATGACCAGAAATGCCTTGCTTTTATGCAATCCTCGTAAATCTTGAGCCAGGAAAGTACAAGGCATGGGCCTCATGTCCAGCATGATGGCGGCCACAGCTGTCACAAGTCTTGAGGCTCTTGGCTCTTTTTGTTTTGGGTTTAGGGTTTAGGGGTGTGGGGTTTAGGGCTACACGCCAATTAGGTTCATTAATCGTCCCTAATCCCTAAACCCTAAACCCTTACATCTTGGGAGGGTGGGGTTGAGGCTTTGGAGGGCCTTATTCTGGGGATGTTTGCGATGCCCCTCTCGGTGGCGCTCCTACATCAGCCCTAAGGGTTTAGGGTTTAGGGTTTAGGGTCTAGGGTTTAGGGTTTAGGGTGTAGGGTTTAGGGTTTAAGGTTTAGGGTTTAGGGAGCCCTAAACAATAAACCCTAAACCTTAAACCCTAAACCCTTAACCCCACGTATCAAGCACTTTCGCAGCCCTACGAGTGGTGCAAGCGCATACTCCTGACCTTCAGAAGCTTAGGATGAAGGTGCGAAGGTTGAGGGCTTAGGGTTTGGGGGTTGGGGGTTGGGGTTTAGGGTTTAGGGTTTAGGGTTTAGGGTTTAGGGTTTAGGGTTTAGGGTTTAGGGTTTGGTGTCTGATATTCATTGCTTCTGATTTTCGCGTTGTGCGGATATTGCTTCCGCGTGATGTTCCTTCATGGCATTTGTTGAGTGCCATTGATCCTTACGTCGCACACTTCGCCGATGCGATTGTGATTTCACGATTTGACGTTGCCCTTTGACAGACAGATGGTCCTATGTATATTGCAGGGGACATCACTGACATCACCAATGATGCTTGAATTTATGACGGTCACGAAGAGCTAATATGGACACTGGTGGTGATTGTTATTCTGCAAACGTTATGCATTGACCACTCTGGTCATTGAAAGCGAGACGATGGATCTTTGATTGGATTGACATATGCTTGGAAGTATTCGCAGTTGCTTTGTCTTCGTGGTATTAGTCAGCGCTTGTGAACTCATTGCTTGTGATTCTTTATTTCCGTATTTTTTCTGTGCAAACCGAGTCATTGCATTCATTCGACCACAGTGAGATCGAATATCGCTGGTAGCGTCGCTGGTAGCCGCGAGCTTGGTGGAACGCCTCATTGGGCTCATAACCCAAAGTTGTATAGCTCACAACCCATAGTTGTGTAGGATTGGAATTTACCAGTTTTACGTGGAGTCAGACTTTTATTGGCGACTGTATCAGTGCATGAGAGTTCTTTGGATGATGGAATGGTTTCATTGGTTGCTTTGCTTATCTACCATTTTGTTTCAGGCCGGGTCGATTGGTGATATCTTCTTCGCGGTTGACATACACTGGTTTCAGGAAGCCATATATCCGGCATTGCTATCTTTACGTGGCATTGCTCGGTTCTGCAAGTTGTGAGAAGGGTCATTCTTTCGGAGTGCAGATTTGAGATTGCTTCCTTGACCCTGCTCTAAAGCAGCGTATTGATCGCCGTTGCAAAACTGCGCGTGGGAATCTTCTGGATTGCGTTGGATGCAACCAGGCTGGTCCTACTTGAGTGACGGCATTGTCTCAGCATTGCTCATTGGTCAGCTGCTTGAACCTCTTTGTACAGTATTGAGGTTTTACCAAATTAGTTTGGTTCTGTCATTGTTCTCATGCTGCAGATTTCAATTGCACGAACAGTGATTTGTTTTGTTTGCCGTCTGCTAGTGACTGCTTCATGGGATGTTTTGCATTGTTTCCGGAAGAAGACGAATGATTGCGATCGGATTGCTTTCAGTGAGATCTTCGGTACGGTGTTGGACACCGTATTGAACTTGGGTCTGGAAAGTCATTGCAACTCCACCTACCTTGCAAGACCTGCCGTATTGAGCATGTTGAGTCACATTGGCCTACTCATTGTGACATCAAGCCATTTCTCAGAGTGTCACACGAAGCGACGAGCCTTTGGTACAGAAAGATTGACAAATCCAAGAATGCCTTCGGATAGCTTGACTGCAACCAAAAGTTATTGCAGTCTTGACGTAAAGAAGAACTGAGCTCGTTGAGCCCCGTTGGCAGAAACGCTTTCTAATTCATTGGTCTCTATTTTCTGGTCCTATTGGTTGCGAGTAAGCTGTGTTTGGATGATTGCTAAGTCGTTCACTCAACGCGCGGTTGTTGATCTTGCGATTGTAAAGGTCATGGAACTCTAGAACAAGAATTTGGCCACAAGATGCCAGTTCCAGACCATTGTCTTTGTGTTATCAAGTAACAGATGACTGCCCTAGAATAAAATGAAGATTGACCCACAAGAAGGTCGGCAGCATCAAGAATTGTTGTACAGTCATATATTATAAAGCTGTTAGTGTGAATGATTGCTGAAGCATTCATTCAAGGGACGGTGTTAGGATTGAGCTGTACTTCCTGCACATGTACATTGTCCATTGCATGAACAACATGCAACACTGACAGAGAACATTGGCATGTGGACATTGCCATGTCCATGATGCATTGGCTCAAGATTGGCTCAGCCCAAGTGACACAAAAGATTGCTGAGCGAGAGATTGCGTCTGACAGTTGTATGCTTGTATTGTGGTGTGGTCAAGACCATTGATTGAACAGTCATGTGTTTGGTAGTTTCCATACAGTTTGATTTTGTACAGAAAGTGACCTTTTGAAAATTTCATTAAAGGGGGGCTTAGTACTCCAGACTCTTGCCTCAGCGTAAACCCTAAACCCCTAACAGCACCCTTAGGTAAACCAGCTGAGCAGCAAGCAAGCATAACCTAAACCCTAACCGCCTAGAGTCCCCCAAGACCGAAGCCCTGTAGAAACCCCAAGGAGTTTAGGGTTTATAGGGTATAGGGTTTAGGGTTTAGGTTGGCAAGCAATGCGTGCAGTCGGGGGGGTTGGGGGTGGGGTTGGACTGTTTGGCTTCAGGGTTGAGGGATTAGGACAAGGCTTCCTTCTTGAAGCGACAGTAGCGGCAAAGCACCGCGAGCTTCTCGCTGTAAGCGTTGTACTTGTGTTTGGCCTCACGCATGCACGCATAGGTTTCCTAGAAACTTAGGAAATGGGATGGCCTTGGTGTGTTTTGCTTTATGGACTTTCCAAGGGAAGCTATGCCGCTTATAAATTGTGGTTATAAGAATTTCTAATCCTCCAAGTAAACCGCAGTTTTGGGGGTTTAGGGTTTAGGGTTCGGGTTTAGGGTTCACGGTTTAGGGTCTAGGTTTTAGGGTTGAGGCGTTTGAGGAGGTGGAGTACGCCCTCAGGCCCTTCACAGTCTGTTTTGGGTTACCCTAAACGCTAGCCCCAAATCCTCAGCCCCTAAACCCTAACCCTAAACCCCTAAACCCTGACAATCCTAAGTCCCTCAAACTAAACTCGTGGCTCGAACTAGCAACCACCTAAGAGAGTTCTCAGGGTTTAGGGCCTAAAAAGGTTGCCCTTTTTGGTTTTGAGGGGATTGCAAGGGAACCCCAACCCTAAAAAAGAAAAAAGGGCCTTCTCCCGGTCCTAGTAGCCCTAAACCCCAAACCCCAACCCTAAACCCTAAGGCGTCCTGGGGGCTTGAGGTTTAGGGCTTTAGGGTCGAGGGTTCCGGCTCCTTAGGGTTTCAGGTACAGGGTTCGGGGCTTACGGGCTTAGAGGTCAGCTAAACCCGAAACCCGAAACCCTAAACCCTAAAACCCTAAACCCCAAACCCTAAACCCTAAACCCAAAACCCCAAACCCTAAACCCCAAACCCTAAACCCTAAACCCTAAAACCCAAAACCCTAAACCCAAAACTCTGAACCCTGCTTCGGGGGTGATTTTGGGGTTTAGACCCTACCTCTTCAGGATGAGAAGTGTAGGCTTTTGGGGGCTGAGCCTGGCACTTCAAGAGCCCCTAGAGAAGGGATTAAGGGTTTAGGGCTAGGGTTTAGGGTTCAGGGAGAAGGGATTTAGGGTTTAGGGCTAGGGTCTAGGGTTCAGGGAGAAGGGATTTAGGGTTGAGGGCTACGGTTTGGTGTAAGATAATCACCTGGAGCCGTACGGGGTAAGACTCCCCCTAAAGTCGTTTAGGGTTTGGGGTTTAGGGTTTAGGGTTTAGGGTTTAGGGTTTCGGGCGACGCATCGCGGAGGTGGAAACTCTCTTTGTCGCTTCGCCCTCACGGCAGGCAGGACGTCACCAAGCCATCAACCGCCTCCCAGTACCTGGCAGTCCAGATGCTTCATTCAAATGAACCCTAAACCCTAAACCCTAAACCCTAATCCCTGAACCCCAAACGGTTCTAAAGCCAAAAACCCTACAGACCCTACACACTTAAACCCTAAACCCTAAAGCCCTAAAGCCCTCAAAACTAGGCTGAGTAGACACGGACCGAAGCCCCAGGGGGGCCTCCTTGGCCTATCGGGATGGGTAGGGTTTAGGCGGGACGCGAGGCCTGTTGGGGTATGATAGGGGTACCACTCTTTTGGCATATGCCCACGTAAAGAATGTAAAACCCTAAAATAGGATTGTAAAAAAACAAAAATCACAAACAAGAGTAACCTGGGAATAAAAAAGGGTGCCCTTTTTGCCTTAAATACAGAGTTTTACAAGGGAACCTCAACCCTGAAAAATGAATAAGGGCCTGCTCTGGGTCCTAGCCAAAGAGCAAAAAGAAAAACACACACACACACACACACACACAGAGAGACTCACGCACCTTAGTTGCTGAGTTCATACCCCCCCCCCCTCCCCCCCCCCTCCCCCCCCCTCCCCCCCCCCTCCCCCCCCCTCCCCCCCCCCCCCCCCCCCCCCCCCCCCCTCCCCTCCCCCCCTCCCCCCCCCCCCCCTCCCTCCCCCCCCCCCCCTCCCCCCCCCCCCCCTCCCCCCCCCCCCCCTCCCCCCCCCCCCCTCCCCCCCCCCCCCCTCCCCCCCCCCTCCCCCCCCCCCCCAAAAAAAAAAAAGGAGTACACTTTCAGTTCTTTTGGGGGGTTATACAATCCCAAAAAGTGCAAAGTGTACTCACTCAGATACTAGCTTAATATGGGCCCTGTTCATACCCTTATATTCCCTATACAACACCAGGGCCCATACTTCACAACTAAAGAGGTAAGGCCCATATTTCAGGTACTAAGACACACACACACACCCTAAACCCTAAACCCTAAACCCTAAACCCTAAACCCTAAACCCTAAACCCTAAACCCTAAACCCTAAACCCTAAAAAGCTTCAGATAAGATACTCGGCTGCATGGCTGACCATGCCTCTGCAGTGCAAAGCCTTCTCGAGAGTCCTTGTGTTGGGGTTTCGGGTTTAGGGTTTAGGGTTTGGGGTTTGGGGTTTGGGGTTTCGGGTTTCGGGTTTAGGGTTTAGGGGCATGGGGTTTGGGGCTTGTGGCTTGAGAGTTTCTGGGTCCAGTGCCGAGAAACCGTTGCAAGGAACACGCAAGTGCCCCAAAATCCTCTAAAGCATCCGCAAGACCCAACACAGCCAGAAACGAACTGAATCCCGCTACAAGCTGATTCCTAAATCCCTTCAACTACTCCTGAACTAGACCTAAGAGTCTCCTAGGAAGAACTAGGGTGCCCTTTTTGGTTTTAAGGGGCTTGTAAGGGAACCTGGGATCTAAAAGGGGAAGACTGGCCTACTCTGGGTCCCAAAGAGCTCAATGCGCCCCCGAGCGACAGTGTGCGCACGGCAGTTCCGTCGGGCCCCAGAATTGTGGCATCCCGCCAACGTTCCGCCTGCGCCAGCACCCGGTTCGGGAGCTCGCGCAGCCACTTGGCCATATTCTGGGATCCTTGGTTGCAGATATGTTGGCCCCCCTAAAACCCTAAACCCCAAACCCTAAACCCTACGGCCTACACCCGACTTTCAGGCGATATAGCTTATTGTTCAAGGGTGTGGGGAGGGCGGGTCCCTGACTCTTACTGGCCCCAAACTACCTTATGAGAAGCCCAGAAGTTGAAAAGTTGGGTTTTGAGCCAGTAAGGACTTCTAGATGGTGCCAAGGTTGCTCTGCTACCAAGCCACAGGTCAAGAACAACTCTGCCCTAACCCTCAAGCCTAAGCCCATTGTTGTTGGGGGGTGGGAGCCACCTTATACCCTAAACCCTAAACCCCAAAACCCAAACCCTAAACCCTAAACCCTAGACCCCTCAGCGATTCGCAGTCTATCGAGCCGAAGATCTTTCCAGGGGAACCACCTTGTCACTCCGCGAAGCCACGATCCTCGGTGGGGTTTGGGGTTTTTGGCTTAGGGGGGTTTAGGGACAACGTGTTGACCTTGCGCAATAAACCCTAAACCCTAAACCCTAAACCCTAAACCCTAAACCCTAAACCCTAAACCCTAAACCCTAAACCCTAAACCCTAAACCTCTCTCTCGGCCCCCCCCCTAGAAGGGCTCGAAGCCCAGGCGAGGCGTCAGAGTCGGGATCTCGCGGAGGAGGCGCCAGATTGACAGCATCGGCCCACGGGGCGCGCTGGCCAGCTCCCCTCCCAGCCTTAAGCCCAAGAGAAACCGAGGTATAAGAAGGGTTTAGGGTTTAGGGTTTAGGGTTTAGGGTTTATAGGGTTTATAGGGTTTAGGGTTTAGGGTTTAGGGTGACCCAAGGACAAAAAGACTGCACCCTTCTTCGGTGTGAAGGGGCTTGCCATCTCTAAAATAAAGCAAGGCTGCCCAGTAACCAAGGCTTAAAAAGGGTGCCCTTTTTTGCTTAAGGGGTTTACCTAAACCCCCCAAAAAGGGAATAAGGGCACGACTGGGCATCCTAGAAAGGGAATACGGGCCTACTCTGAGTCCTAGCAACTTGCGGGCGTTGGCCGCGGCGATCCTTGGCTTGGGATTTTAGGGTTCAGGGTTCAGGGTTCAGGGTTCAGGGTTCAGGGTTTAGGGTTTAGGGTTTAGGGTCAAGGGATGTTAGGGTTCAGGGTTTAGGGCTTCTCTGGGCTTAGGGGTTTATGGGTTTAGGGAGTCTTAGGGGTTTAGGGTTTAGGGTCAAGGGATGTTAGGGTTCAGGGTTTAGGGCTTCTCTGGGCTTAGGGTTTAAGGGTTTAAGGAGTCTTGGGGTTTAGGGTTTAGGGTTTTTAGGGTTGAGGTTCACAATGCTATGCGAAGGGTTCTTGGTTTAGGGTTTGAGGTTCCAGGATAAAAAAAGCCGTCTCCAAGCGTCAGCGTCTTTCCGAAGGAGTTGGCCGGCTCCTCATGGAATGCCTGGCAGGCCCCAAAGGTCATCAGCATGTTCAAGCCGCAGCCCGTAAAGAAGGCGAGGGCATTGTCGGTTGTCGATTTGTCCGCGTCAGAATCGGATCTCGACGGGCCGGTTGGTTCAGAGTCATCCTTGCTGTCTTCATCCACCGAGATGATCCTCGGTTCGCACGCGAAAAAGTTTCTCACACAAAGGGCTCCCTGAAGCCTAAGCCCGAAACCCTAAACCCTAGGCCTAAAAGGCGGGATAAGGGAACTTGCGAGTTTCCAGAAATGGGGGGGATACCCTTTTTTTGGATTCCTGCACCAAGGCTTTTACTATTTTGAGGGTACATCCTGGGCAAACTCTGAACCCGAAACCCTAAACCGCAAACCCTAAACCCTAAACCCTGAACCCTGAACCCTAAACCCTAAACCCTAAACCCTAAACCCTAAACCCTAAACCCTAAACCCTGAAACCTAACCTAAACCCTAAAAAACCAGCATGTCTGCGCATCCCAGGATCTCGTGAAGGAGCAGGCCGGCGCCATCAGAGATCATGCACTTGATGGACTCGGCCGGAGCTTGGCGCACATCGCCCTTCCTAGGTTTGGGGTATAGGGTTTAGGGTTTAGGGTTTGGGGCTTGGGGTTTGGGGTTTGGGGTTTAGGGTTTAGGGTTTAGGGTTTAGGGTTTAGGGTTTAGGGTCCCCCCCTCCTCCTTATCAGCCCTGCAACCCCTAAGCTCTACACTCTCAATGACACTTGGACACTCCCAAAAATAGGCCACACCTAGACTAAACCCTAAACCCGAACCCGAACCTCTAAACCCTAAACCCTTGCTCTCTGCCCAAGACTCTGCCAGCTGTTGTCCCACTTTCCCAGGAGTGACCGGGCCATCCCGAAGCCACCATCACTGAAGAAGTGGAGAATCACCGGGCGATCTTCCTGGGGGAGGCCAACCCTAAACCCTAAGCCCTAAGCCCTAAACCCTAAACCCTAAACCCTGTAATTCCTGAACCCTGAGCCCGGTTCAGGTTTCGGAGTTAACTTCAGGGCTTTGGGCCGTTTAGGGTTTAGGGTTTAGGGTTTAAGGTTTGGGGTTTGGGGTTTAGGGTTTAGGGTTCAGAATATCTGGAAGGCTGCTGGTTCAATAAACGTTCCAGGACTGTTCAGGATTATCTGCAGAAAGGTCAAGGGTTTAGTAGGCTGAGACTACACACAAGATTTAACCTTACCACCTCAAACCTATCAAATCAGCCTGGCTTCCAGCACGGAAATGAGCTTCTCAAAAATCAAGTCCAGCCTAGGGCTTTTGTCGGGTTCGTGATCAGGAGTTACAGCTGTATAGCTTTTGCATGCCCACCACCCTAAACCCATTAAACCCTACATAATACCAAACGTAGAATTCTCTTCTACGTCCGGCCTAGGTTCAGGGTTTAGGGCTTAGGGCTTAGGGTCATGGTCTCGTAAGCAACTAGAGACTGTTCAGTACCAATCGTCAGGGCGTTGGGGGGTGACAGGCTTCGGGTTTAGGGTTTAGGGTTTAGGGTTTAGGGTTTAGGGTTTAGGGTTTAGGGTTTAGGGTTTAGGGTTTAGGGTTTAGGGTTTAGGGTTTAGGGTTTAGGGTTTAGGGTTTAGGGTCGTGGGGCTTCTGGAGCTTAGGGTTTAAAGGACTTTGGGGCGAACGGCCTGATGAGCCGGCCTTTGAAATTTCTTATCCCTTAAAGTCCTAGAGCCCCGGAGCTCCTTGAAAACCCAGTAAGGGTTTAGGGTTTAGGGTTTAGGGTTTAGGGTTTAGGGTTTAGGGTTTAGGGCTTAGGGTTTAGGGTTTAGGGTTTAGGGTTTAGGGTTTAGGGTTTAGGGTTTAGAAAGCCCTGCCCCTTCCCCCCACCCAAGCCCTTTGCGAGGGGCATGTCGTCCCGGCCAACCCTGGCGGGGCCGAAAGCCAGTACGGCGGCGCCAGCTTGGGTCCAGTGCTCGATAGCAGGTTGCAGATCCTTCCGTGGGTTTAGAGTTTAGGGTTGAGGGTTTAGGGGATGTTCCCCCTGAAAGGGTACTATAATCCCCATAAAGGACTCTTAGTATACGGGCGAACATCCCAAACCCTATAAACCCTAAACCCTCAACCCGAATCCCTGAGTGGGTGTGTGGTTTAGGGTCTAGGGTCTTGGGCAGATCTCAAAAATAGAGTTTTGATCGGGGTCTTCTACAAGATGACAAAATAAGGTCCTCAGAAGGGGCCACAACTGTCGAGAACTACCCCCCAAAAGCTGCAAATCCGAAATCCCACAACCTAAAACACACATGTGCTGGGCTTTGGCGTTGAAAGCCCACGGCTTTCCGCAGTGCGGTTGTTTGGTCTTGGGGTTCACTTAGGGCCGTAAATCCCAAACCCTAAACCCTAAACCCTAAAGTCCTAAACCCTAAACCCTAAAGTCCTAAACCCTAAACCCTAAACCCTAAACCCTAAAGGGGGTTAGGGTGCTGAGGGTCGGCCAAAGCATGCTCGAGCCCAGATCCCGTTAAGGGTTCATCGGTACAATCAATCGTAGTTCCTTTCTGAATGCCTAGTATGTTTAGGGTCTAGGGTCTAGGGTCTGTCTAGTGTTTAGGATTTAGGGTCTAGGGCTTAGGCTCCAGGGCATAGGGCTTAGGGTTTGGGGTTTGGGGTTCAAATCCTCCTATACCCGCAACCGCTGGTTGCGTGGGTTGAAGGGTTTAGGGCCGTTCTGGTGTGTTGAACGCATCCAACAGATTCATCAGACTTCCGGGAAGGAGCACCTAGTGTTGCCTAAAATTGTAAGTCATTGTAGTTCCAATTTGGGGAACCAATGGTGTTTGCACAGTACATACACGAACTGCAGCAAATACGATAATACATACAAACACACAAATACAAAACACAACAACAACTATTAAGATGCGCCATATACATATATATATATATATATGTATATATATATATATATGTATATTTATAATATATATATATATATACATATATATATAATACAGATACTTCTGAAGAGCAGGCAGGGAACGTCGAGATGAGAGCCGCCAAACCCGCAAAGCACCACAATGGGGCTCTCAGAATCTCGGAAAGTATAATACCTTGGTGGCCCAGTAACCATATCATGAGTAGGGTACCGTTTTGGGGGCTGGATATCTATATAGGGTTGGTTGTCAAAATTATGGTCCCTTTTGGGATCCCTATTACAATACGGCACCTAATATTTAGGGTGCTTGGCGGGGCCCTGGAACTCATAACTCTACCCAGATTCAGGTGCGCAGTGCTGGTGCGCAAGCTGGTGCGGGAGCTGGTGCGCGAATGGATTGGGCCCGAAAAGCGGTGCGCAAGCTGGTGCGGGAGCTGGTGCGCGAATCGCTGGAGTCCGAAAAGCGGTGCGCAAGCTGGTGCGGGAGCTGGTGCGCGAATCGCTGGGGTCCGAAAAGCGGTGCGCAAGCTGGTGCGGGAGCTGGTGCGCGAATCGCTGGGGTCCGAAAAGCGGTGCGCAAGCTGGTGCGGGAGCTGGTGCGCGAATCGCTGGGGTCCGAAAAGCGGTGCGCAAGCTGGTGCGGGAGCTGGTGCGCGAATCGCTGGGGTCCGAAAAGCGGTGCGCAAGCTGGTGCGGGAGCTGGTGCGCGAATCGCTGGGGTCCGAAAAGCGGTGCGCAAGCTGGTGCGGGAGCTGGTGCGCGAATCGCTGGGGTCCGAAAAGCGGTGCGCAAGCTGGTGCGGGAGCTGGTGCGCGAATCGCTGGGGTCCGAAAAGCGGTGCGCAAGCTGGTGCGGGAGCTGGTGCGCGAATCGCTGGGGTCCGAAAAGCGGTGCGCAAGCTGGTGCGGGAGCTGGTGCGCGAATGGATTGGGCCCGAAAAGCGGCTGGTGCGGGAGCTGGTGCGGTGCGGGAGCTGGTGCGCGAACCGACGGTTCCGACGGGTTCCGACGGGTTCCGACGGGTTCCGACGGGTTCCGACGGGTTCCGACGGGTTCCAACGGGTTCCGACGCGTTACGGGTTCCAACAACGGGTTTCCGAAGTTTTCAGTGGAGATGGGGAGGCGTCCATTGCGCACACCGGTTTTTGGACCTCAGCACCAGCTCCTGCACCAGGTTGCACACCGGTTTGTGGGCCCGCATCGGAACGGGAACCCGTCGGAATTCGTCGGAACCCGTCGGAACGCGTCGGAACCCGTCGGAACCCGTCGGAACCGGTCGGAACCCGTCGGAACGGCTGGGGTGGGGCTGGGGCTGGGGCTGGGGCTGGGGCTGGGGCTGGGGCTGGGGCTGGGGCTGGGGCTGGGGCTGGGGCTGAGCCTGGGGGCTGGGCTGGGGCTGGGGCTGGGACTGGGGCTGGGGGTTCTGAATTTTGTCCATGTTCAGGCCCTGAATTTTGTCGATTTTTGCCCTAGACTTGGCACCAGCATTTCTTCATTCTGGCCCCGTGTTTTGCACCCGGTCAAGCCCCAGATTTTTTCGGTTTTGACCAGGATCCCGAAAACTAGAGTTATGAGTTCCAGGGCCCCGCCAATAGGGTGCCGCAAAAGGGATCATAATTTTGGCAACCATCCATCTGGGAACCTGAACCCCAAAAGGGCAAAAGAGCTCCAGTTGGGCGACCAAGATACTCAACATCGACCATGGACGAAGCCCAGCAAACCAGGCACAACTGCCTGAGTTCAGGGTTTACAGCGGGTTTATTGCGGGTTTGGAGCTTTGGGCCTTGGCTACTAAGCCCTAAAACCTAAACCCTGAACCCTAAACTTCCCCAAGCCCTAAACCCTAAACCCTAGTCTACGGGTACTGCGCAGGGCATCCTGGCTGCGAACACACAATGTGGGCCGCGCGGTCCAGGGAACTCGTGCTGCTAAACTGGAGCAGCTTAGCCAGCAGCAAGACAACCTGTGCAGGGTTTAGGGTTTAGGGTTTAGGGTTTAGGGTGTAGGGTTTAGGGTTTAGGGTTTAGGGTTTAGGGTTTAGGGTTTAGGGTTTAGGGTTTAGGGTTTAGGGTTCAGGGTTTCGGGTTTAGGGTTTAGGGTTTCGGATGTATATAGGGTGTATGGTTTATTAATATTAGGGCTGAGTGCTAAGACAGCCAAGATTAGGGTTTCGGGTTTCAGGGTTTAAGAAGGGCTTTAGGGTTTCAGGGTGTTATTGGTTTAGGGTTTATAGGGTGTTAAAGTGTAAAGTTTAGGGTTGAGGGCTTCAGGAGTTGTTGGGGTTGAAATTTGTAAAGCTCAGGGGGCTATGCCATGATGAGGCATACCCATGGTTTGCTGTATATCCATATCATGGAAACTTAAACTAACAATCCGTAATTTAGGGTTTAGGGTTTAGGGTTTGGGGTCCCCCCTGTTATAATCCCTATTCAGGGCTGTTCGAATAAGGGGGAACATCCCACGCCTACTCTGGGTTCTGGGCGAAGTTCCTTCAACTTAGTTGCTGAGTTCATAAGCCCCAAAAAGTGTACACTTTCAGTTCTCTCGGGTTTAGGGTTTAGGGTTTAGGGTTTAGGGTTTAGGGTTTAGGGTTTAGGGTTGCCCAAAAGTGTAAAGCGTGCTCAGCTACTGAGCAAAGGCAGCCCAGCAGCTCTCTTGCGGTTCTCGCGCCTCCATGCCAGGAAGAGTAGGTCTTCAACAACCGCCTCCTGGGTTGACCACCCTAAACCCTAAACCCTAAACCCGACACCCTGAACCCTGACCCCAAAGCGCGCAAGCCCTAAGCCCTAAACCCTAAACCCTAAAGCCTAAACCCTAAACCCCAAACCCTAAAACCCCAACCCTAAACTGCCAAAACCTACCATTAAGGTCGAGGGGTAGCGGAGTAAGGGTGTCATGGTCGAGGGTGTTGTCTTCTCTATCCTGCTTAAGAACCCTAAACCCTAAACCCTCAAGACAAAATAAATAGAAATTGTATGTGGTGTCAGTCTGAATTTTCCAAGATATGTGTCTAAACAGCTGACAAACAGAGCTTAAGTAAATTAATCCAAAGCGGGAGGCCAAATGTTCAATTTACTTAAACCTCTGGGGCCTTCCCGGATCTCGAAAATCGCCTCCTAAAGCCCAAAAATTTGCATGCGGTATCAGTCTGAATTTTCCAAGATATTTGTCTAAACAGCTGACAAGCCGAGTTTAAGTCTGAGGCCACATGCTCAATTTACTCAAACCTCGCTCTGTGGTACCATTCTGAATTTCCAAGTTATTTGTCTAAACAGCTGACAAGCCGAGTTTAAGTCTGAGGCCAAATGCTCAATTTACTCAAACCTCGCCCTGTGGTACCATTCTGAATTTCCAAGTTATTTGTCTAAACAGCTGACAAGCCGAGTTTAAGTCTGAGGCCAAATGCTCAACTTGCTTAAACCTCGCCCTGCCCTCCTCCCCGCCTCCCCCTATTTCCTCCCTTCCTTCCTTGCCCCTCCTCGCCCCTCCGCCCCCCCCCCCCCCCCCCCCCCTCACCCCCTCCACCTCCTCCCCCCTCCCCCCCCTCCCCCCCTCCCCTCCTCCCCCTCCCCCCCCTCCCCCCCCTTCCCTCTCCCTCCTCCCCCCCCCCCCCCCCTTCCCCCCCCTTCCCCCCCCCTCCCCTCCCGCCCCCCCCCCCTCCTGGCTGCTGGGAGGGGCAGGGAGGAAAGGGGAGGGGTGATTTGAAAAAACGAAACGTTTCGTTCGAAACTTTCGGTCGAAACTTTCGGTCAAAACTTTCGGTCGAAACGTTTCGTTCGAAACGTTTTTGGGACCCAAACCCTATACAATTTCTATAAACCCTAAACCCTAAACCCTAAACCCTAAACCCTAAACCCTGAACCCTAAACCCTAAACCCTAAACCCAAAAACCTAACCCCTAACCCCTAACCCCTAACCCCTAACCCCTAACCCCTAGCCCTAACCCCTAACCCCAAACCCAAACCCTAAACCCTAAACCCTAAACCCTAAACCCTAAACCCTAAACCCTAAACCCTAAACCCTAAACCCTAAACCCTAAACCCGAAACCCTAAACCCTAAACCCTAAACCCAAGCCCTAAACCCTAAACCCTTAACCCTTAACCCCAAACCCCAAACCCTAGACCCTAAACAATCAAAGCTCCACCCAGCTGCGAACCTCGACAGGTCGCTCGGCTCGCTTGCATGGCTGGCTTCTTTGAGCTGTTTCCAGGCCTCGGTTGGGCTGCATGTAGCACCTTCCCAGAGAGAGGTTTAGGGTTTGGGGTTTAGGGTTTGAGGTTTAGGGTCTAAGGTTTGGGGTTTACGGTTTGAGGCTTAGGGTTTGGTGCTTGGGGTTTCGGGGCCCCTTGCAAACCTTTCGAACATGCTTCCGATGTCAGGCCCACTCTTGGAAAAAAACAGGGGAAGGCAACATCTCTCAAGAGACTGTGTAGAAGCTGGGCTGCCCAGAAACCCTAAACCCTAAACCCTAAACCCTAAACCCTAAACCCTAAACCCTAAGCCCTAAGCCCTAAGCCCTAAACCCTAAACCCTAAACCCTAAACCGTGGTGCCTTTTCTTTTCTTTTGCTGAAAGGGGTTGAAAAGGGAACCTAAAGGGGTTGAAAAGGGAACCTACACCTCCAACAAAGGGGAAAAGGGTACCAGAGTGGGCATCCAGGCAGCCTTTTGCTCCAGTTCATCCAGTGAACCATGAACGTCTCTCAGGGTGCCATTCTTTTCGCTGGCTTGGACACCTCAGTTTTCCTAATGTAGGGGCCCAGTTTGTTTTTTGTTCTCTCTTTTTTTTTTTTTTTTTGGGGGGGGGGGGGGGGGGTGGGGTTCTTGTAGTATGTTTACAAAGGGACCATAAGGGAAACACAGCGTGCTGGGTTCAGGAATATCCCTGAATTCATCATCAAAATCCCTGCCTAGCTCCTCAATCTTTTCAGAGATGCTGGACTCGTCGGGTTGGTCTACTGTGAGGCAACATTCTGCACCGGCATACCGGTAACCATTGCTTAACAACATTTAAACAAGCTAAAGCGTTGAACTCAACCACCTGACACGCCAAATCCTACAGACCCCAAACCCTAAACCCAAACCCTAAATCCAAAAGCCTTATAAATACACTATGGGGCATCCTGGCACCCTAAACCCTAAACCCTAAACCCCACACCCTAAACCCTAAACCCTAAAGCCTAAACCCTAAACCCTAAACCCTAAACCCTAAACCCTAAACCACTAGGCATCCTGGAAGAGGCACAGAGCAACTCCGGAAGCGGCGTCTTGGCGCCAAACTGCTTGCCCGTTTCGCGCGTGTCTGCAGGTACGACAAGCTGTCGGTCTTTCCTAGGTGGTGGTTTCCGAAATTGGGGTTAGGGTTTAAGGTTTGGGGTTTACTTCTTGGGGTCCTTCTAAGAAGGGAATTTTTGTATTTGGGGCTAAATTTGAGGGGTCCCTCTATTTTCGTAAGGAAGTGGGGTCTTCGGGTTAGGCTTATGAGTGGTGAGGAATAATCTCCTTGTTCTGGTAGCTTACTCAAAGCCCTAAACCCTGAACCCCTACACACCCTAGATGCTCAAAAACCACCCTAAAACCCCCAAAGAACCCTTACTAAGAACCCCCACAACTCTAAAAACCCTCAAAACCCTCAAAACCCTCAAAACCCTCAAAACCCTCAAAACCCTCAAAACCCTCCAAACCCTCAAAACCCTCAAAACCCTAAAACAACCCTGAAAAACCCTAAAAAAACCCTAAAGCCAACAACAACCCAGCTTCACCTTCATGCTGATCCAGCCAGACGGAGGGCCTGTTCCTCGGTACAGCTCGTAGTGAAGTCTGCCCCCAGCGACCTCGGTGGGGCCACTTGATTTCAAGCAGCCTGACAAAAGACAACCGAAAAAAGGAAAGAAGTGCAGAATATCCCTAAACCCTAAACCCTAAACCCTAAACCCTAAACCTGGGGACCTCCAGCTCCTCCAGAATCGATTGGCTTGCGAGCCTCTCGCCTCTCTCCGCAGAGTTCAAAGCCTGGCCTTCCCGGACCAGCAGTCCACCTAAAGGGGGTTTAGGGTTTAGGGTTTAGGGTTTAGGGTTTAGGGTTCAGGTCTTAGGGCTTAGATTTAGGGTTTAGGGTTTAGGAATAGTGGTCTAGGTTTAGGGCTTGGGGTTTAAGGGCTTAGGAATTCGGGTTTAGGTGTTTAGGTGTGCAGGGTTTAGGAAAGACATTTTAAGATAACTTTTGCTGTGGTTTAGGGTTTCGGGCTTCGGCTGTTGGGTATTCTGAGTCCTTTTGGTACACCAAATTATCAGGGATGTACGTGCTTTAGCAGAACGAAATCGTAAACTCTAAACCCTAAACCCTAAACCCCAAACCCCAAACCCCAAACCCTAACCCTAAACCCTAAACCCTAAACCCCAAACCCGAAACCCTAAACCCTAAACCCTAAACGTTTTCGGATGCAACCTCCCCCCCCCCCCCCCCCCCGCTTCCCCCCACCTCTCTCTCCACCGACTACCCTCCACAAGCGTCCCATGGCGTCAGGCTTGGCGTTTGGGATTCTGGGTTTAGGGTTTAGGGTTTATAAGGGCGTATAAACTGTTGCAGTCTGCGGTGACCCCGACGCTTCAGGAGTGAAGTTTTCGGGACTAGGCTATAACAATTTGGTAGCCAAGTAACCACACTTTGACCCAAAAACACTCTGAACCCTAAACCCTAGCC